AGCGGGGGGGGTGTCGAGCTGGGGCCGGGGGCGGGACGCGAAGGCCCGCCCAGGAGGGGGCTGCGACCCGCTGCGACCTGCTGGTCCCCACTGCCTGCCCGAGGGCTTGGTCCCCGGCCCCTGCCCGGTGGGGCGAGGGAGGCACTCCGGACGTTGCCCGGGGAAAGCAGACTCACATAGTCTGTCCGAAGTGTCTCCCTAGACCCACCGCGGCTGGGCGGCCGGGCTCGGGAACGGGCCTCAGGGCCGACCAGGTGTTCTGCCTTTTGGCCCCAACACCCACTGGCCCCTGCAGCCATGCTGGCACGGGCCTCCCCAGCTAGGAGAACCCCTGTCTGGGGAGGCAGCCTGCTTGCCCTTGTTCCTCGCGCTCCAAGCACAGGGACCCGGTCAGCATCCCTTGCCCAGCTCCCCCCCTAAGACCACCTCTACTCCCAGGGTATGGAGCCTACCCCCAGGAAGTGACTCCTTCTGGTGCCACTGGAAAGCTGAATAACAAGTGACATGAGCCCTGATGTTCAGATGAAAGGGGCTGAGGGCAGCCACACTGGAGATCTACCACCTTCAGAACTGCCGTCTCCACCCACAGCCACTCCTACAACTGGTAGTGCTGGCCCCTGGGTGGTGCTGGGGTGTCCTCTTTGCCAGCTGGTCCTCCGAGCTGGGCAGCTGTATCGAGGAACTTCAGGGAGGCTGCCCCACCTGCACCCAGAGACAAATGCCACCTTCTGGCCTGGGGCAGAGGACAGAGGTGAAGAGACAGGCCCGGAGCCTGGGGTGGGAGCTTTAAGCCAGAAGCAGCCCAGCTGGGGAGGAACACTTTAGGGCCTGTCAGCAGATCTGTATTATAAATCAGTCTCGACAGCAGCTTTTGTTCTGGGTTAAAACTTGGCATCTGAAGAGCAGAGACCAGAAGAGTAGTGGAGATAACTGGGGAGGCAGCCCAGTTTGGATTCAGTAACAATTGGGTCTTTGCTGGTGCACATAAAGGCCCCTTCTCCAGCGCTGGCCAAAGCCATGTTTCCCAGCTCCTTTCCACCAGGGAGAAACCTGTGGCCTTGGAGATGCTGGAGGTAGGGGCAAGCCAGTTAACGATTAGCATGGGATGGGCAGTAGGCTCTCTGCCTCAGCGACAGGGGGGAAAGGTGTGTGACCCCTGTAGGGTCAGACCCAGAGTCTGTTTAGGTGGAAGTGGCCAGATAGGCAGGTCTCCTCACCTTTGTCCCGCACTGTAGACTTCGCAACTTGCCTGCATTACATTTTCTTTTGCTCCACCCCTAGGACCATCTTTGTAGGTATGGTTTCTGGCATTTTGTAGATAAAATGAGCCTCAGAGAGACCTGCCCAAAGTCACATGTAGATACTAGCAAGGTCAGAACATTAAAGGAGACCCAGAATTCAAATCCTTCATTCCACTATCACAGTGGATCTTGACAATTTTTAGGCCCCAGATGCTCATTTCCTGCTGTTTTTCCTCACCTTCAAGCCCCACCCCCACCCTCTGGGTATGAGGGTTACCTGGCAGGGACTTGAGCTCCTGGCTCCACCTGCATGATGACCCCAGTGGAAAGTTTCATAAGGTGGTTTGGTTTCACTGGCAGGGATAGTCTTCGGTACCTCACGGAGGGCTGCTGCGTTCTAACAAGACTCCAGGGGCCCTTCTGTCCAAAATGCTCCCCAAAGATAGGGCTGCAGCTCCCATACCCCTTTTCCACCTGAGCCCATTTCCTGCTGGGTTCTGCTCATTTCCAGCACAGGCCTTTTCCGTGGGCGGGTGGGCAGGGGATAAAGTTTCCTGCATGACTTGCTCATGATTCATACTTTTTAATATAAGCACAACTGGTAAAAAATGAATATTCCTGGGTCTTAAGGAAAAAAAAAACTGATACCCTCTCACCCCACAAAAAAATAGGCTCTTGTACCCATCAACCTCCCTGGGGTCTGTCTAGCATATTCTGTGGAAGGTGCCCATCCTGTTTTCTCTCTCGCCCATTGGCAGCTCAGGGCGGCCCCTAGAGGTAGGCCCCCTTCCCCACAGATGAGTCCTGTGCCCTAGGGGCCCCCATTTGGGCTCCTTACCCCCCGAGGCAGCTTTCCAACAGGAGGGCTGGGTGTTCTTGGGACAACACTGGGGTTCTTGGGACAATACTGCTTGCCAACTCCCCAGGGAGCCTGGAGCAGCTGTCAACCAACAAGGGAAATGAGAAATTCTGGGTCAGCCACCCTTCAGGGATCTGAGGGCCAGAAGACCGAGGTCAGTGGGGACAAAGGAAAAAGACTTCCTCCCAAAGGAGGGTTATCAAAGCTGCCCACCTGGGAAGCCTTTCCCTTCCCAGCCCCGCCCTGTCACCACACCGAAAGGAAGCAGGAAAACATCCGTCATCACAGCCCCAGGGCTGCTTTCCCAGGGGCTTCCATCAGGATATCCCTCAGCCTTTCCCAGGGGCTCAGGTCAGGAGAGAGCGGGTGGTGAGTATGCCAGCACCTCTGTGGACTTCTTGGCCTGGAGGACACCAAGTCTCTAACTGGTCCTAGACTAGTTTTAGAAGATCTGGTCAGCTCCTGGCCAGTTCCAGAGAGGGCCCATTACAGGCCCCAGGGGATAGCATACACCCTTGGGTGACCTTGAAGTACACACCTCTGCTCAGGTTACAGCTAGGTAGCTGGAGGAACTGAGTTGTCACCAACACCTCTCCTTGGTGTCTGTTTCTCTCTGGGGGATGAGTGTGTTTGGGGAGCAGGAAGGAGGGGTCAGTGTACAAGGAGCGGGACTGGGAAGCAGAGCTCTCGATATCCCCGATATCCCCACATGCTGACATACAGCTCCATCGCCTTCTGAGCCACACAGGGGCAACTTAGAGACCTGGAAACTCCAGGCTCCACCTCTCAGGTCACCCTTCTCCCTCTGCCCTTGGCAGCGAGAACAAAGAAGGGAAATTTCAAAGGTAATTTCCAGGTTTCCAGAGCAAATTGAATGGCTGTGGATTAACTGTCAGGATGTGCAGTGACAGCGAGAGCCCCGAGGGTGCTGGAGGCTGGTTTACCATGGCTTGGCTCCTCACTTCTTGCTGGATCTCATCTTTTATCAGAGGATCTAGGCCTACCTAATGCTGCTGGGGCTTTGGTGGTGCTCTGCCCCAGCCAAGGGGACCTTGCAATGTGGCCAGGAACAGAAACAAGAACTCTGTCAAGTCACCTGGGCATCCAAGTCACCCTGGTGGAGGGTTTCTTCCATTTCTTACCTGGCAAAGGCTGCAGAGGCAAGGAGGCGTCCTGTATGGTACCCAACCCTCTGAATTATAGATGCTCCCACTCTGGCTTCCAGCATTCTGGGAACCCAGCAAGGGAGGCAGCTATGTCTTAAACAGGCCCAAGAAGTGATGGGCTACACTGTGGGTCTGCAAATTGAGTGACTTGGCTTAAAGGTCCTTTATTTGGGGGGAGTCTCTCTCCCAGTTAGCCTGCCTTTCCCTGACTTCTGTGGCATCAAAAAGCAAAGGAAAGGGAAACGTCAGCAGAGCAAGTCGTAAGCACCGGCCATCATGATGCTCCATCAGTACACCTGGGCTGGGCTGAGGTGGACACAGGCCAGTTGGGCAGGAGTCATCTTTTTCTATCTACTTCTTGTGACCTCTGCAGAACCCCATCCCAGCCCTGAAAGAGTCAGAAGGGGCCAAAGACAAGAAATGGATTCTCAGGGTTGGAGGGGGTGGACAGAGGGTACGGAGGGCCCACTTGGCTTTCAAGGTGGGCAGCTCAAAGACACTCAGTACCCTGTTAGCAGTCAGGGCCCACAAAACCGACCTCCGGTAAGGCTGGGGGAAGCAAAAGCAGTATCAGGAACTGTCTGTGGCACGGTCTCCCCACTCTTAAGTCTGGGGAGTTGATTTCAGAGCCTAATGATAAAATGAATTAAGTGTAATTACAGCCTTGATCCACCATCTCATTCTGGGGACCCTCTTTGGGCAGGGGCGGGGAGGTGGGAGGTGGTCCCAGACTGGGTCCAAACACATGTTCCCTGGCATCCTGGCTCCCTGGCTTTCTGGGTTTCTAACAGAAACAACTGCCCCTCTGTCTCTCCAGATTTACCAACTGCCTCTGCTGCAGGGGAGCAGGGCCGAAGCCCCAGTCACATGACTGTCCGAGGTGAGCATTCAGCAAACCAGACGCTGGGCACCAGCCCTTGGGATGGGGACTGAAGGCAATCATCTGAACCACTGATGTGAAACTAGACTTTAGTGTGCACAAAGAGACCTCACATTGGTGACAGAGAGAGGAAGGCAGGCAGAGGGCTGAGGTCCAAGGGCCTTGGGTGGAGAGAAGATGCTGGGTAGAGAAAGAGAGCCCGTGGAGTCAGGCAGGGAGAGGGAGGGCCCTGGGGCCAGTAGGGTTGGCTCTTGCTCCATTGGGCTGGTCCTATTCTGGCCTCTATTCTTTGCTTCTCCAGTTCCCTGGGCCCTGTCCATTCCTTGCCAGAGCTGAGAGCCCTGGGCCACTCCTGCCTTGATCCATTAGATGTCTTTCCAGGGGCTGAAATACTGGGCCTGTGGCAAAGAGAAAAACAAGGTGAAGTAGCACGAGCCTTTACCCCTTGGCGTCCACTCATCATCCACGACAGGCCTCTTCTGTGCCAGGTAGTGAGTGACTGGGGCTCATAGTCCAGTTGAGGATGTGGCAGATCAGTAGGCCAGTTGACCACATCTCTGCCTAGGGTCCTTCCACTCACTGCTCACAGGCCCAGGGCAGCATGAAAGGAAGGTGGAACTAGCCCCCTGGCTTGCCCAGGCCACTGATCACTTTTCCTTCTTTTCATGGCAAACACAGTTTCCCACCAAAAGACTAGTGGGATCTAGTTCCTTGGGGACTGACTTCTGAGCAGTCTGCTCTCTAGTTTTCTCAGAGACTTGCGAAATCTGAGACCCAAGCCACAGTTTGTGGTGATGTGTCAGCCCCAAGTCAGAGGGTTACAGGGGAGGACAAGCAGAGAGAAGTCAGAGGAAAGACAAGTTGGGAGCCTAGTAGCACATAAGGAAAGCTGGCCCCTAAGCCAATGGTGCTGCTTGTCGGAGGGACAGAGGCCAGAGGGAGGCTGCCAGGCAGGGCTGGACTCTGCTTAAGTCTGCTGGCGTGGGAGCCAGGCTGGCCCTGCACCCTATTTGTGACCTTTACATGCTGCCTGCCTGTACAATGGGACAAGCTAACGCAACCTCTCAGGGACTGCAGTTAGCCCACTCATCTGTAAAATGGGGCCACAGCCTCATGGGGGTTATGTGAACACATAGGAAAGGACTTCATTCAATAATTATTAGCTATGAATATGATCGCCCAGAGCAGGGGTCCCCAATCCCCGGGCCGTGCACCAGTACCAGTCTCTGGCCTGTTAGGAACCAGGCACAGCAGAAAGAGCAGAGGACTAATGAGCAAAGCTTCATGTGGATTTGCAGCCACGCTCCAGTGTTAGCATCACCACCTCAGCTCCACCTTAGATCATCAGGCATTAGATTCTCATAGGAGCACTGGTTCCTGGTGCCAAAAAGGTTGGGGACAGCTGACCTAGAGAGTTTGAGAAAGTGAGGGTGTGGCAGTGGTGGCTATAGAAACCAGAGGGACCAGGAGGGCATCCCTTCTGGCAAAGGAGGAGGCTAGCCCCAGGCCTGCAAGATAAGTTGGCAGAGGGTGGACAGCTGGTGTCCTTGGTGCTCCTTCCTGGCACTGCTCACGACAAACTGGCCCTATGGGCCCAGGCTGTCCCCGCTCCAGAGTGAAGTTTCTCCTTGTATTTGTTCAGGAGCAGCTTTTCCCTGCCTCCTGCCATGCCCCCATACTGGGCATGGGACTCTTGATGAGAATGGTGAAGGGCCTGCAGGCGTCTCCCCTCCCCCATTGCCCTCTCTACCCATCTCCCAGCCAGGAGCTGAACAGCTGCACTGTGGGTGGACATGCTCTGTCTCTGCTTAGCTGCCTGACCACTTCCCTCCCCTCCCAGGTAGGGGCTGCAGGGGGCACCACCTGGGGCTGGCAGTGGGCCAGCAGCTCCTGCCAGCGGACATAGGTCTGGGCGGCCAGGTCCTTGAGCTTGGTCCGGTGCATGGCCTGGGGGCTCTCCCGGACATGGGTGCCGATGTGGCGGTCCAACTGCATACACAGCAGCTGCAGCTCCCCCTGCAGAGGTGGGCACGCAAAAGTATAGTTGGCGGGGGTGTCTGTGAGTGACTGCTCAGAAGTCAGGCAGGAAAGGGAGGAGAGGGGCAGGGAAAGTGCTGAGGACACTAGTTGGTATCCCTTGGAGAGGTCTATGGGACGCTGGGAGGGGACAGGCCTGCTCCCCAGGGCCTACTTCCTCCTCAGTCTCCCACTCTTGCAGCTCTTGACCACGGGCTGGGCTCCGCCCCAGCCGACCACAGCCCACCCTCTCAGGAGACTCACCCACTGGTCAGGAGTAATGTCCTGGCAGCTGACCACCACCCCAGCCAGTGTCAGGAGGCTGTGGCACAGGTAGCAGACCTGGAGGGAGAGCACAGGAGACAGGCATGCCTGAGTCCCTTGCCCCCAGACTCCTTGCTCCCAGGCCCTGTGGCGACGACAGGGCTTTCAGCCAGTTCTGGGAGGCTCTTCCAGGAGGGCTCTGGGGCCCGCTGCCTCAGAGCTTTCTCTCTGGTGAATGGCTGTCCTCCCTTCTGTCAGAAATTGAACCCACACTGTACCAGCCCTGTCCCAGGGCTCTGGCCAAGAGAGCCATTAGGGAGAAGGCCCGTCCTCTTACACTTCTGCTCTGCTCCCTGAGATGCCACCCATGCCTGTGGGCTCTGTGACTGGGTGCCAGTCTCCTCCATGGGGGGATGTGGCCCATGGGTGGCCAGACTGTACCTTGGCAGGATACCGCCTGCACAGACAGATATACAGCCCATCTAGACAGTCAAACCATGATGACAAAAGGAGGCAGTCTGAGACAGGGAGACAGAGGGCAATGGCTTCTCCTGAGCATCTGCACACCCTACCCACCAAATCACACACTCACTCTTGCCCACTGGACAGTGAGGGATGAAAACAGGACAAAGGCCAATTCTCATCCCAGGTGCCCTTGGGCTGTTGGTGCCCATTCATTTATGGGACACTCACTTGTTGTGCAGAGAAAACAAGGTTCAGGGGGCACCCCAAAGATAGGTGAGGCCCTGGTGTGAAGACAGCCTGCTCCTGGCACTCTAGAGTGCTGTCTGTGGGCATGCCTCTCCCCTTCAGAGGTTTCTTTCACCTTGTCCTCTCTGACACTTTATGTCTGAGATAGGAAAGGTGGCAGGAAATGACCCACTGTTGTGCCCCCAGGCAGATAATGGCCAAGGCTGAGCTGGGAAGGGAGAAGCCGGCTCCATCAAGACTCCAGCTTAGTGATAGTGGGGCTGGAGCTCAGAACCAGCCCAAAGCACCCTCCCCCACCCCACACACACTTCCTTGCCTTTATCACCCTCCCCCTTAGAGCACCAAGTGACTTGTGGGGGGCGGGGCTCACCAGGGAGCTAGCAATCCCCTTCTCCACATGGGTTCCCTGTCCCCAACCTGGCCATGCCCTGGCGGGGGAGTCCCACAGCATTCAGAACCCCTTCCCACCTCTGCAGTCCTGGCAGACAGCCCTTGCCCCGCTCTCCCCACAAAGCAGGCTCAGGCCTGTGCGGCAGAAATGCACCTTAACTAAAACACAGCCACAAACACACAGACATTAGAGGGAGAGAGATACTTGAGGACGGCAATCATTTGGTCAATAAATCCTGAATCTCAGCTTCTCCAGGGAGCAGAAGGAGAAAGGGTCCTTCTAAGTTTTCTGGGGGGTAGGGGTGATGTGCAGCTCAGAAGGTTCCAGGAAGAACTAAGCTAAACCAAGCTTTTAGAGAACAGTAGGATTTGAGGTGAGGTTGGCCTTGTGGGCGCGGAGCAGGGCCGAGATTACAGCAACAGACAGACCCGGGGCTGATGCAGGGCATGCTGGTGGCTGCCTGGGTGGAGCAGGAAGGGGTGCCCAAAGGACAGGGCTGGAAGCAGGGGTCTGAAAAGTGGGCAGTGGCGGCTGCCCCAGGCTTTTGAGCAGGGAGGCTGGGTTGTGGGGGACAGACTTGGGGTGCTTGGGTAGTGGGGACAGAATGGGCTGAAATAAACTACACCGGGAGTAACAGTGCGGCTTTGAGAAAAAGGATTACAGGATAATCTTCCTCATTTTTTTTTTAATTTAAACAATTTTTTTTTCTTTTTAAGATTATTTGTCTACGATGTGCATGCTTTACTCATACAATCAGAATACAATAAAAGTTTTTTTAAACATTAATTTTAAATAAGACAATGCCAATTAGAACTGACTGAGCCTCAGTTGGGTTTGGGGTGGGTGCGGGGCAAGGGAGAGGGACGAGACCTTGAAAAGAAGCAGAGCCCTGGGGACAGAGGCCTCTGTGAGATGGCACTGAGCGAGCTGACAGTGAGAGGTTGCAGGAGATGCCAAAGAAAACATCTTAGGGTGATTGTCGGTGGGTGGCTAGGAAAGGGGCCTGTCTGCAGGGGATAGGTGTGAAAGCCTGGGAGGGGGTGGGGCAGAGAGGGAAGGAAAGGGGCAGCTCTCAGCCCTTTCACTTGTCAACAGTCCTAGGTCTGGGCAGTGGCTTTTTCCACAGCCCACAGGTGGGTGTGTCTCTGCATTTCAGAGACCCCTGTGCTATGCACAAAGCCTGGGGCTAACAGGGACCTCCAGCGCCTGGAATTGGTCCGAGGGGCCCCAGTCACCCTGCCCCCTCCTTCTCCTGCAGAATTAATCTTCCTAGGAGGGGGTGGGGCAGGGCCTAGGGTCTGAGGGATGCCCTGGAGGGAAAGCTGAGTAGGGACTGATTGAAAGAAAAACACCACCCTTGCAGGCAGGTTTCACAATCTTGTTGTTAGCCTGATTCCCAGGACTAAATCTGGAGGGACAATCCCAGGAAAACTATCCTGAATGTGTTTTTGGAGGGGGGACTTGGGGTGGTTATAGCAAGAAGGAAAAGGCAGTTCTGAAGAAAAGCCCCATTAACCACATTTTATAAGCCGATTTCTAAAGGGAGGACAAAACCCTCCTACTACCTGGAAGTGGGCCGGGTGCTTTTCTCCACCACATTCCAGGGCGGTCCCTAGAGTAGGGATTTAGGGAGGGGAGGCCCTTGGAGGAGGACTCTGACCCCACTTAAAGGGATAAGGTTCTGAAACCCAGGGTCTTTATGACTTTGATTCAGTTCAGCTTTAAATCTTAGCTCTGAAAATCACACTCCCTCTCTCTGCCCATCAGGGCCCTGTTCTTTCCACTGATGGCAAGCACCCGAGGCAGCAAAGGACAGAGGCCTGGACCTGACTCATGGTCACACAGTTCAGACCTCTGGCAGGCTACAGATAACATCTTGACCTAAGTTATGTCTCTGCTCCTGAGCCTTGTGGTGGAATGACCCCCTGGCTACTGTCCCATGACACCAGATAGAGGGACTCCTGAAAAGACCTCAGAACTGTCCCCCAGACCTGAAGAAGTGATTCATTATCCTGACCTTACCTCTGAACAATCAGCTTCCAGCATGACCTGTCCCCCTACCCCCAACCTTTGGTGTCTTGAGATCTTGCTCCTTAGAGTCTGTAGCCGACCCGCCATCAGGAGCCAGGTCTTTAGCACAAACTCTGTCTCCAGATCTGCCACTTTGATATTAAATCACTTTTCTTTCTATACTACAAACTCCTGCTCATGCATTTCTTTGGGCTAGTACACAGGCAGGCAGACTCAAACACTGGGATGCCTGTAAACAGCAGTCTGCAGCGGTGCTTTTAGAAAACAGTCTTCGTTACATGCTTAGGAAGCGCCTAGACCACGTCCTCCCCTCACTTACCGAGACTGCTGTCTCAGCATTGGGGGAAGGTAAGAGAGGGTACAGCCTCCCAAAGGGGCAGGCAGTTGCACTGGGTGTGCTCATGGCCTCTTCCGAACCCCCACGCTCCCAGACTTCTGCCCCAGCCCCGTTTTTGTGCCGGTTAGAGAAACAGGCATCAGCAGACACCGGGCTGTGTAGCTGGGAGTTGGCTCAGCCTTAGTGCCTTTTTGACAGGAGGCTGGGGGACCAGAGGCTGGCCCCAGAGCGCCAGCAGGGGTAGGCAAGAGCCACCCCTTCCAGGTAGGACACAAAGAAAATAGCCAGGTGTGAGAGGCATTTCCTGCTCCAGTCACGCTGTGACCAGTTCCTGAACTTGGCAAGCCTGCTCCTGTCCTAGCTGGCACCATGGACTTGGGGCTGTCTTCCCTTCCAAGATGCAGGAAAGGGAGACTGGGCAGAAGTGCACTGGGGGTGCCGCTGATGCCCTAGCCCCCCTGCCTGCTCCCATTTCCTGCACAGCTGATAGTGCCAGGTGGCCTTTTAGTAAGCCTGAGGCCCCTTCCTAGTCCCTAAAGGCCTGTGTGGTTTGGTGGGGTGTCAGTGTGGCTTCAGGGTTCAAGAGCAGTACAGAGGCACTCTTTGAGGGGGCAGAGTACTACACTTGTCCAATCTTCAGGACCTTGTCTGAAAAATGGGCCCTCGCTGTCTCAGGCCACCCAGAGCCTTCCCTGCTGGGTGTGAGTAGAGGCTGGGAAGCCCCCGTGGGAACTGGAGCCTGGGAAACCTCAGCCAACGACTTGGGGAGAGGCAGAATCTGAGGGCACGGAATGGGACGTGCCTGAACCCCATGCTGACAAGACTGGATCGTCTCTTGCTGCTGCTGCCAGCAAGGCCTGCAGCTTCTAGCTTCTGTTTTCTGGGTCTCTCCCAGAGTTTGGCAGACAGACTTTTCTGAGAAGTTCTGTGCAGGATGCCTCATTCCTTAAAGGGCCCTGTCCATGCCCTGAGGAAGGATGACAGGGTGAGAGACAGGAGAGAGCCTGCTGGGCTTGTCACCGATGGTGGGGGGGTCAGTGTCTTCTTGTTCTGGTCCAGCCAGTTCCGACCCCAGGAACCACAGCCAAGTGTCCTTTTGCAGCACTTTCGTCACAAGATGACAGAGAAAAAGGTTGCCATTTCCCAGGACCCTGGTCCTTTACAAAATTCCCCTCCAGCAATGCCAAGAGGGCAGGCTGTGCGGGGTTGGGGGAAGTATTTACGCTAAAAAAGGGCAGAAAGTAGGATAGAGAGTATCTCCCAGGAGGCTACTCACTCTGCCCAGAACATTCTGGTTTCTCCCACCTTGGGTCAGGACCAGGGATCCAGACTTACCTAACCAGGCAAGTCTTCACTCCAGCCCATCCCCTAGAGGTGGCCAGGCCTGTGGGGATGGCCGATCTTGCTACTGGCAGGAGGTCCCCATGGGAGCAGTGCCAACCAGGCTCTGGGGCAGCTGCTATGGGGGTGGGGAGAGAATGAAGGCTGATCCAGGAGCGCCTGCTGGGAAGGACCAAGACGGACCTACAAGACGCTGTCTCCCAGCTAGGCTGGGGGGCCCAGGGGCCCACACTGCAAGTGTCTCTGGCTCCCGCTCGGGCCCTGGAT